GAAGGCACTGTATGTCCATAATATCAAATGACCTTCTAGTGTGTGATCAGCAGAAAATGACATTAAGATTGTGTATGTTAGCATTAGCTTCCCCAGAAACACTTTTTTAAATGAGTTCACACAGCAATATATTCAATGTACCTAGTTAGTAGGTAGTTTATTCAAAATAGTTGCTGGTACCCACCTCTGACCCCATATACACTTAGTTTGTACAACTGATCTACAAGACATTTGACACAACTGTTTTGATACAACAGATAGTTTGTCTGCACAAAAATATTTACACAACAGTCACAATGGTTGTGTCATAATTTTTGTGCAGACAAACTCTCAGTTGTATCACAGCCATTCTGTCAAATGTGTTGTACATCAGTTGTATGACCTGAGTGTGTACGAGGCCAAACTCATTTCTATATTACAGATTTAGGGTCTTAATTTGATCAACCTGTTGCAGGAGAACTTCCCTTCAATGCAGGAAAGGTTAAAATTGTAGTGTATTAGAGGTTTAAAAAGGCTTCTGAAGTTTGGAATTTCCACTTTGAAATTTCAGACTTGATTGTCCCTTACGAAATATATGTCACCTATACAAAGAGGTCAATTAATTCATATAATAATTCACATTTCCTTTTGCTGCAGGATTATTTTAAACTGGCTCAAATTAAAATCCTACATCTGTAGATACACTACTGACCTTCAGTCTCATTGAGAGGTGAGGGTGGTGGGAAATTAAGGAAATAGGCTGTGTGCTATCTCTGGTTACCAACTGTTTTGCCTAAAGTGATCCCAATATTTTGCCCATGTAAAGCATGTGTGTCATCACTCTCTCCAGGATTTGAATTATTAATATGTTTATATGTAGGCAAAACAAGAATACTATTTAAATTAGTTTCCACTAGACTCCTTCACTCACAAGGATCAAACCCCTTCATTCTACACAGGCCAGAGCCAGTCATACTTTACACAGACAAGACCCCATCATACTCTACAACAGCCCACAGCAGGTAAGAGAGACATAAAAGCAATTTATATCAGATATTGATAACACTGTACCAGTTTGTGAGGTTACTAAATAACTCAAAAGGACAACATTATAGTCAGTTTTCTAGCTACAACTAGATTTGGAATTTGTTTGACCCATTGTAGTATTGCTATAATATATTTTTATGTTGATAAAGTGGAGAAGGATCATTTCTGGGATTGGAATTTGGAACTCCTGCATTAGGATTGTACATCCAGTTTCTGCAAACTCATAAACTCATACATTTGACACATATCCTCATACAGGACAGCATCCATCACTTCTCTCTGTCTCTCCTGACCCTGTGGTCACCATGGACATGACACCTCTCCTGCTCCTACTTTGTGCCAGTATCCACTCAACCTACTGTACACTGTAACGGAAAACTCAAATGTATATGGTAATTTTAGGTATTACCAACAGTAAAGAAACTATGAAATGTTTTACTGCAGCATCACCACTCAGTATGACTATAATGAACATGTGTCTATCCTGCAACGTTATGCAATTATTAAGAGACTTGATACAAATAGTTAATCCTGGCGACCAATGTTATAACAGAAAAATATTGAGGCACGTAGATCAGGGATGTCAAGAAGGAACCCTCCACTAACCCTCCACTAATATTGGCACCCTTGGTAAATATAAGCAAAACGGACTGTGAAAAAAATGTCTTTATGTTTATCCTCTTGGTCTTTCATTCAAAATATTCACTAAATCTAAACTTTAATTGAAGTAAAATAATTGAAAGAAAAAATAACATATCATAAAACAAAATATTTTCTCAAATATCTGTAGCAACAATTATTGGCACCCTTCGTTCAATACTTTGTGCAACCTCCCTTTGCCAAGATAACAGCTGAGTCTCTCCTATAATGCGTAATGAGGTTGGAGAACACATGGCAAGCGATCTGAGACCATTCCTCCATACAGAATCTCTCCAGATCCTTCAGATTCCGAGGTCCACGCTTGTGGACTCCTCTTCAGCTCATCTCATAGGTTTTCTATGGGGTTTAGGTCAGGGACTGGATGGCCATGGCAAAAACTTGGTTATTTGGTCAGAGACCATTTTTGTGTTGATTTTGAGGTGTGTTTTGGATCATTGTCCTACTGGACGATCCAACCACGGCCCAGTTTAAGCTTCCTAATAGAGTCAGTCAGGTTTTGATTTAATATCTGCTGATACTTGATGGAGTCCATGAAACCATGTATCCTAACATGTGTGTCCGGGGCCTTTGAAAGAAAAACAGCCCCTCAACATCAAAGATCCACCAACATACTTGAGGTACTTTTCTGTATGGCTATCTTTCTGTCTCCGCCAAACCCCACTTGGTGTTGTTCCAAAAAGCTATATTTTGGTCTCATCTGACCATAGAACCCGGTCCCATTGAAAGTTCCAGTAACGTTTGTCAAATGTAGGTACTGAGGTTGGTTGTTTGACGACAGCAAAGGTTTTTTTATGGCAACCCTCCCAAACAACTTGTGGTTATATAGGTGGCATCTGATCGTAGTTTTGGAGACTTTCTGACCCCAAGACCCAACAACGTCTGTAATCTCCAGCTGTGATCCTGGAGATTTTTTGGCCACTCTAACTTTTCTCCTCACTGTGCGTGTGGGTCAATATAGACACACGTCCTCTTCAGACGATTGATAACATCTCCAGTTGCTTTTTAAACTTCTTAATTATTGCCCTGATAGTGGAAATGGGCATTTTCAACCATTTAGCTATTTCCTTATAGCCATTTCTGATTTGGCAGCTCAACAACCTTTTGTCGCACATCATTACTGTATTCTCGGGTCTTTCCCAAAGTGATGGATGACTATGGGAACATGGCCTGTGTGTCACCTCATATTTATACCCCAGTGAAACAGGAAGTTATGGCTTACCACTTAAGTGTTCCTAATCACTCGGGTGAACTTAAAAACTTAAAATATGAATGGGAATAAAATTGAGTTAGATTTTACTCCTAAGAATTTCTAGGGGTGCCAATAATTATGGCACACATGTTTCAGAGAAAAATATTTATTTCATTTATTTCACATTATTTTATTCAATCATTTTACTTCAATTAAAGGTTCGATTTTTGTGAATATTTTGAATGGAAGACCAAGAGGATAAACAGCAAAGACATTTTTTTCACACCCCGTTTGCTCATATTTACCAAGGGGTGCCAATATTAGTGGAGGGCACTGTATGCTATGTGTATAGTGTAAATAACAACTACCAATAGACTTACTATGTTATGAACGTATAGTCAATCAAATAATTACTCTGTAAAATGTGGAATGCATTTACTCCATTCAACTAGTCGAATGTATTAGTAACAAAATAATTAACACTCAAATTACAGTGTACATGAAATATATGATACATTACAGAAGACACAGAGCAAATGACTATCAACTAAATAAGACTTAACGTGGTTACCGTCTTCAGTTCAGAATAATCTCTAAGAGAAAAGCTATGTGTGTGATACACACAGGAACTGCTAACAAGTTCTCAAAATATTAGCGAACTCACTGCCCTTTTAACCAAATTCAAGCAGCAACTCACCCCCAACCTAAATTAAAATGTCTTTGCACTTTGCTAGTAAAACAATAGACAGGAACAACACACCCAGATTCTAATCACACAATCAAATAATAGGAGCGTACCCTGTAGTAGTTCCCTATTTGAACTGACCGCCGTCCAACGAACAGAATAACACAGTTTCCCTATAACAATAAATCCATAGAACTTAAAGAACAATAGAACATATCAAAATTCATAGCTCTTTATGAACTCTTGAAACAATTCAAAATGACAATTTAATTCACAGTAACATAAATATTATAGATTCAAGTTTTCATCAGTCTTCATACCTCTCCTGGTGTCAGTGACCTTAGGACTTCCATGTGAACGTCTCTTCCTAGAGATTGCCACAACAAAGATGTGACTTTCTCTTGTGAGATGCAAATATACAGCCATCCATGCAAACAATGTCATGAATCCTGAAGCTGGGCCTCGGAGCCAACAAATTGCCAGTCGCGAGTGTCACATTCTCTCATTTCTCCACTACAGTAACATTACTTATTTACAGTATTTTTTAAGGTATTGTACTGAGTGTCATTACACAGCACTTGCTTTGATAACTTATTGATATTACAGTAGATGTACTGTAATATTATACTGAATAAAAATATAAACGGAACATGCAACAAATATTTTACTGAGTTACAGTTCACATAAGGAAATCAGTCAATTTAAATAAATTCACTACGCCCTATTCTATGAATTTTACATGACTGGGCGGAGGTGCAGCCATGTGTGGGCCTTGGAGGGCATAGGCCCACCCACTTGGCAGCCAGGCCCACCCACTGGGGAGCCAGGCTCAGCCAATCAGAATGTGTTTATCCCCACAAAAGGGCTTTATTAAAGACAGAAATACTCAGATGATCCCGCAGGTGAAGAAGCCAGATGTGGGGGTCTTGGGCTGGCATGGTTACACGTGGTCTGTGGTTGTGAGCCCGGTTGGACGTACTGCCAAATTCTCTAAAAACGATGTTGGAGGCAGAAATTAACATTCAAATCTCTGCCAACAGCTTCTGGTGGACATTACACATGTAATTACACCATAATAAGGACCCCTTAAAATTAAGTGTTACGCAAACCTCTTATAATGTATGCTTCTTTTGTTGGTCATGTGCATGCTAACATTGAATTGAACTTAATCAAATTGTTTCTGTCCTCAGGTGTCTGCTGCACAGCCGCACTCAGCCGCCTCAGAAAGTTCCATCTCATTAAAAATAAAAACCGGGTTAAATTGGACAGAAGCACAGGACTTCTGCCGGAAGAACTATGCTGACCTTATCACTGTATCAGGAGGAATCTCAGCAGCTGACACAGTTAATGGCATCTGGTAGCAGCTATTTAGCCTGTATAGATCTCAATCGCAATCAGCACAGTCTGAAATGGTCCAATGGAGACTGTTAATGACACTGCATGGTCACCACTTCCAAGCCCGTACACAGAGGCAATGTGTGCAGCCATAATCAACAAGACAATACAACATGGGAGAATTGTACAGAGCAGAAATACTTTATGTGTTGCAGAAAAGGTAAACCATTCCATAAAACAAAACACATCAGATTTCCTGTTTACTTGCGCCCTCAACAACATCCAATTCAAATTATTATAATTCTTCAACAATTTCTAGAAATCATTATTTTATATCAAACTAAGTTGAGTAGAGTAAAATGTTAGTCCATTCTGTGTGTGCAGAGTCTCGTGATTCCTTCCTGATTGAACAAAACATGACCTGGTATGAGGCTCAGAGGTACTGCAGAGAGAATTACACTGACCTGGTCAGCATCAGGAACGAGGCACAGAAGGAGGAAGTGAAGAACAAAGGGATGAACAGCACTACTCCTTACTGGATCGGCCTGCTGTATGATGACTGGGAGTGGTCTGCTGGAGGGAGATCTGCCTACAGAAACTGGATGTACAATCCTAATGCAGGAGATATACACACTGTTCTTTACCAGTCTGGACAAGGTATACTCACTGTGGGAAATGGAGGTACTGAAGACTATACACTCTGCTCTGAAGGTAAGTTGTCAAAGAGGAACATAGTCAAACTGCTTCTTATATGTATGAAATGTTGTTACTCTATATTGATAGTAGCCTGGTCAAGAGGACTGAACACTGCACTCCCTTTTCATTTCACTTCACTTGTCAAGTCAAACACAATGCAAGCTATCATGTGATCACGCTGGTTTCACCAGGCTATAATGATATTGAAATATTACTGAAATTATGTGGCTGCTTATTTTGCCCCTAAAATCTGAGAGTTAAATGGGTGCTAAAACAAGTTAATATGAAAATGTTAAATATCTTGAACACCACATTTATGTCTTTCAGGATCAGTTCGCATCTACATAATCAGTGAAATGATGTCTTGGGAGCAGGCTCTGGACTACTGCAATAATTACCACCATGGACTGCTGCGTATTGAGACAGCAGAAGACCTGGAGCTGATCAAGCAGAAGTTCAATGGGACTGATTTTACTTGGTCCTGTGTGGGTGGGTCTGAGACAGAGCCGTCTCTTTGGGTTCTGGGTGTGGACCAATGGGCTGCCAGTGGGATGGAGTAACTGGGAGGGAGACAGACAGCCGGAAACAGCCTCTGTCCAACCACTGTGGTGCCAAGGCAACGGAGGAGGGATACAAGTGGAGTGATCAGGATTGTCTGTCCAAGCGCTTCTTTATTTGTGAAGAACAATTGATATCAATTTCCCCCTTGTTAATTAAATTAACTGTCTTTACCATTCCTCACATTTGAATTTTTTTTTTTTTTAGGTAATTGCTGACTGAAATCATATTGACAATTTTGTATTCCATTTTTAACCTTTCACCATGCATTGCAATGTACAATATACCTTGTCATTGATATTGTGATCAATCATCTTTGAGTTAAATTGTGTGATATTTCAGATATTTAAACATTTAAAACAATAATATATAGATGACATGTCATGTGATTAAAATATGATATTGTCTAGTCCTAATATGTTTGTCATTAATAACATTATTTTGACCTAGGTTTACCCATAGTCATCACTATTGTAACTATGGGTTACTGTAAATACTGTAAATATTGTAAATACCATTACATTTAATTAATAGTATAATGCATGTTAATGATGACTAAGGAAATAACAATTATAGTAAAGTAATATATTTTATATAATGGATATTGTAAGCATAATGGAAATACTGGGTTAGTTTTTCTATTGTATCTCTTCACCCAATTTCTGTTTTTACTTGACAAAAATAAACAAAACATGAGAAAATAGCTTTTTTTTGTCTTCTTTTAAACACACACAAATGCAGTAGATGTTGCAACAAGACGTCCGTATGAGTAACTCCAGGACATTACAGGGATGAGTGTATGCCGCCATCTTGTCTATTTCAAGTCTTTTCTCATTGATTGAGACAGGTGGTTGTCCATCCCCAAATGCCTCATGTCATGATGACAGAAACCTGTCTCGATCAATGAGAGATGACTTGAAATAGATAAAGATGGCAGCGTACACATTGTTGGATTAGTTAATGGAGAAAACAAAATATACACTACCGGTCAAAGGTTTTTGAACACCTACTCATTTAAGGGTTTTTCTTTATTTTTACTACAGTGGCTTGCGAAAGTATTCACCCCCCTTGGCATTTTTCCTGTTTTGTTGCCTTACAACCTGGAATTTAAATGGATTTTTGGGGGGGGTTGTATCATTTGATTTACACAACATGCCTACCACTTTGAAGACACAAAATACTTTTTTTTGTGAAACAAACAAGAAAAAATAAATAATGAAAACTTGAGCGTGCATAACTATTCACACCCCCAAAGTCAATACTTTGTAGACCCACCTTTTGCAGCATTTACAGCTGCAAGTATCTTGGGGTATTTCTCTATAAGCTTGGCACATCTAGCCACTGGGATTTTTGCCCATTCTTCAAGGCAAAACTGCTCCAGCTCCTACAAGTTGGATGGGTTCCGCTGTTGTACAGCAATCTTTAAGTCATACCACAGATTCTCAATTGGATTGAGGTCTGGGCTTTGACTAGGCCATTCCAAGACATGTAAATGTTTCCCCTTAAACCACTTGAATGTTGCCTTACCAGTATGCTTAGGGTCATTGTCCTGCTGGAAGGTGAACCTCCGTCCCAGTCTCACATCTCTGGAAGACTGAAACAGGTTTCCCTCAAGAATTTCCCTGCCTTGACCGCCATCCATCAATCCTTCAATTCTGACCAGTTTCCCAGTCCCTGGCCACACTTCCGTAAAGCCCAGCTCTGTGGAGTGTACGGCTTAAAGTGGTCCTATGGACAGATACTCCAATCTCTGCTGTGGAGCTTTGCAGCTCCTTCAGGGTTATCTTTGGTCTCTTTGTTGCCTCTCTGATTAATGCCCCCCTTGCCTGGTCCGTGAGTATTGGTGGGCGGCCCTCTCTTGGCAGGTTTGTTGTGGTGCCATATTCTTTCCATTTTTTTATAATGGATTTAATGGTGCTCCGTGGGATGTTCCAAGTTTCTGATATTCTTTTATAACCCAACCCTGATCTGTACTTCTCCACAACTTTGTCCCTAACCTGTTTGGAAAGCTCCGTGGGCTTCATGGTGCCGCTTGCTTGGTGGTGCCCCTTGCTTAGTGGTGTTGCAGACTCTGGGGCCTTTCAGAACAGGTGTATATATACTGAGATCATGTGACAGATCATGTGACAATTTAATTGCACACAGGTGGACTTTATTTAACTAATTATGTGACTTCTGAAGGTAATTGGTTGCACCAGATCTTATTTAGGGGCTTCATAGCAAAGGGGGTGAATACATATGCACGCACCACTTTTCTGTTGTTTATTTTGTAGAATTTTTTGAAATTTTGTGTATGTCCATTACATGAAATCCAAATAAAAATCCATTTAAATTACAGGTTGTAATGCAACTAAATATGAAAAATGCCAAGGGGGATGAATACTTTTGCAAGGCACTGTATTTTCTACATTGTAGAATAATAGTGAAGACATCAAAACTATGAAATAACACATATGGAATCATGTAGTAACCAAAAAAGTGTCAAACAAATCAAAATATATTTTATATTTGAGATTCTTCTTCTTTGCCTTGACGACAGCTTTGGGCTGGACGTGTCAATGTGTAGTTTCATACATGCATATTGAGCAGAATTACTGTCAATTAGCCACGAAAGCCCTAGTTTGAAACACTTTTGGCTCCATGAGTGCAACTTTCAGAACTATTGGCTAAAGATTATACAAAAGTCCAGGAGCATCTCTTTAAGCCGCTTGGCTAAAAGCCTCTGCCAAATGACTAAAATGTAAATGTATCTTCTAGGCAGAAGTGGAATATTCTGCCAAATTAGCTTTGTGCCTTTAAATGAATTTAAAGCATTGATGGAGGATACTCTTAAGGGGTAATGTGTTTGTTTCTGGTTGTTGTAATGTATTTCCCTGTGTTGGAGTACTTTCATGTTTTTGTTGTGTTTTGTCTTTTAACAATGTCAACAGGGCACTCTTGTATAATAGAACGTGTTCTCAATGTTTTTCTCTGAATAAATAAAGGTAAAATGAAAATAAAATTGAGAGGTGAGGTGAAGGGTAGTTACCGTACTGTTTTGTCTAACATGGTCCTGTCAAGCCACTGTAAAGTAAGCATGATTGTCACGGATCCCCCCGGTACTTCTGCTCATTCCGTTCACCAGTTCCGGAGGTCTACGTCACCGGCTTTCTAAGCGTCACTGACATGGATCATTACCACCAACCCTGGACTGTCTTGTCTCATTACGCACACCTGGTTCACATATTCCCCTGATTAGTATGTGTATATATGTGCCCTCTGTTCCCCATTGTCCTTGTCGATTAATGTCCCATGTCCGTTGGTCTCGTGAGTACCGTGTATTGTGCTCTTGTTGTTTACGGGACACTTAAGTGTTTTAGTACTATATCTCTTGACACAATGATGAAAATAATCATGGCCTCTAAACCTTCAAGCTGCATACTGGATCCTATTCCTACTAAACTGCTGAAGGAGCTGCTTCCTGTGCTTGGCCCTCCTATGTTGAACATAATAAACAGCTCTCTATCCACCGGATGTGTACCAAACTCACTAAAAGTGGCAGTGATAAAGCCTCTCTTGAAAAAGCCAAACCTTGACCCGGAAAATATAAAAAACTATCGGCCTATATCGAATCTTCCATTCCTCTCAAAAATTTTAGAAAAAGCTGTTGCGCAGCAACTCACTGCCTTTCTGAAGACAAACAATGTATACGAAATGCTTCAGTCTGGTTTTAGACCCCATCATAGCACTGAGACTGCACTTGTGAAGGTGGTAAATGACCTTTTAATGGCGTCAGACCGAGGCTCTGCATCTGTCCTCGTGCTACCAGACCTTAGTGCTGCCTTTGACACCATCGATCACCACATTCTTTTGGAGAGACTGGAAACCCAAATTGGTCTACACGGACAAGTTCTGGCCTGGTTTAGATCTTACCTGTCGGAAAGATATCAGTTTGTCTCTGTGAATGGTCTGTCCTCCGACAAATCAACTGTACATTTCGGTGTTCCTCAAGGTTCCGTTTTAGGACCACTATTGTTTTCACTATATATTTTACCTCTTGGGGATGTTATTCGAAAACATAATGTTAACTTTCACTGCTATGCGGATGACACACAGCTGTACATTTCAATGAAACATGGTGAAGCCCCAAAATTGCCCTCGCTAGAAGCCTGTGTTTCAGACATAAGGAAGTGGATGGCTGAAAACTTTCTACTTTTAAACTCGGACAAAACAGAGATGCTTGTTCTAGGTCCCAAGAAACAAAGAGATCTTCTGTTAAATCTGACAATTCATCTTGATGGTTGTAAAGTCGTCTCAAATAAAACTGTGAAGGACCTCGGCGTTACTCTTGACCCTGATCTCTCTTTTGACGAACATATCAAGACTGTTTCAAGGACAGCTTTTTTCCATCTACGTAACATTGCAAAAATCAGAAATTTTCTGTCCAAAAATGATGCAGAAAAATTAATCCATGCATTTGTTACTTCTAGGTTAGACTACTGCAATGCTCTACTTTCCGGCTACCCGGATAAAGCACTAAATAAACTTCAGTTAGTGCTAAATACGGCTGCTAGAATCCTGACTAGAACCAAGAAATTTGATCATATTACTCCAGTGCTAGCTTCCCTACACTGGCTTCCTGTTAAGGCAAGGGCTGATTTCAAGGTTTTACTGTTAACCTATAAAGCGTTACATGGGCTTGCTCCTACCTATCTTTCCGAGTTGGTCCTGCCGTACATACCAATACGTACGCTACGGTCACAAGACGCAGGCCTCCTAATTGTCCCTAGAATTTCTAAGCAAACAGCGGGAGGCAGGGCTTTCTCCTATAGATCTCCATTTTTATGGAACAGTCTGCCTACCCATGTGAGAGACGCAGACTCGGTCTCAACCTTTAAGTCTTTACTGAAGACTTATCTCTTCAGTAGGTCATATGATTGAGTGTAGTCTGGCCCAGGAGTGTGAAGGTGAACGGAAAGGCTCTGGAGCAACGAACAGCCCTTGCTGTCTCTGCCAGGCCGGTTCCCCTCTCTCCACTGGGGTTCTCTGCCTCTAACCCTGTTACAGGGGCTGAGTCACTGGCTTGCTGGTGCTCTTTCATGCCGTCCCTAGGAGGGGTGCGTCACTTGAGTGGGTTGAGTTACTGACGTGATCTTCCTGTCTGGGTTGGCGCCCCCCCTTGGTTTGTGCTGTGGTGGAGACCTCTGTGGGCTATACTCGGCCTTGTCTCAGGATTGTA